GAAAAGGGGGGGGGGGGGGGGCGCCGAAAAAGCCCCCCACCATTTAACCCCCCCCCCCCCCTTTGGACTTTTTCTTTTTCCCCTTGCCCTTTTTTGCCCTTCCCCCCCCCCCCCCCCCACGACTATGAGTACATCCCCCCCAGTGTGTCGGGTTTTCGTCGCTTGGCAACGACGTTGTAAAATATGCCGCCCCCCGGTGTTGCCATCGGGGTTGGGTTTTCGGCGCTTGGCGGCGATGTTGTAAAACAAGCCGATCACTTCGTGAGCTCGGCAACCAAGTTGCCGCTTTTTTTTTTCCTCTGTTTTTTTTTTTGCGGTAACCACAATGGTGGTCGAGTAGATCATGTTGTGCGGGGTCGAGAACCCTCACTCCGCGCAAAGGGGATAATCGCACACCACGTTATGTTGAATTGGTCAAGCACCCTCGAGGCAGTTACACAGTGCTTACAACTGTCTCTGTAAGTGAAAGCACCAGAAAAAAAATTAAGTAATACGCAGCTGTCATCCGTACGCAAGGAAGTAAGCACAAAAGATGCCGAACACCCTTAGCAGGATGCAGCGCACCCTTCATGCGACTCGCCGAATACCTCACGGTGCTTCGCGCTTGGTGATGTGAGAGCCTGGTCCGGTGAGAACCCGGCGTGCTCCATCCCGGCTTTGTAGGGATGCTGCGAGGTCAATGGTCTAACGACTACGGCATGCACGACTATGAGTAACCCCCCCCCCCCCCCTTCGGAAGAAGGTACGAAGCGAAGACCACTTGGAGATATACGGGAAGTTGAAAGAAGGGATAGGGATGAAGAAGTACTTGGACGGCCCCATGGACTATGCGAAAAAGCTGAAATTGCAATTTCGAGTAGGCGATCTGGACTTGCCAGAACGGAGGAAGAGGTATACCAGCCGTAGGAGAGAGGAAGAGGAGGATAGACACACATGTCCATGTGGCAAATCGGAGGAGAGTAGACCCCACATAGTTGGGGAGTGTGAGTTGTACAGGAAGGAAAGAGAGGATCTCGAGGAGGAAATGAGACAGAGAGGGTGTGACATGGACAAGTTTGGTAAATTAGACAACAGCGAAAAAACGATCGCGATAATTGGGGATAGATGGTGGGCACAAGAGGCCCTAGAGGACGGGGATAAGATGTGCAAGAAACTTTTATGGAGTTTGTGGCAGAAACGTAAAGAGCTCCCAAATGTTGGTGGTGTCTCTAGTAGGTGTAGGAACGGTGCTCCGTCTCGAAAGGGACGCGTGGTCAATGGTCAAATGACTACGGCAAGCAACAAATGAGTACGCCCCCCCCCCCCCCCCCCCGGGGTTTGCCACCGGGGTGGGGTTTTCTCCCTTGGGGACCAACTTTTAAAAAAAGCCGCCCCCCCCGGGGGTGGGCCACCGGGGTGGGGTTTCCCCCCTTGGGCGCCATGT